TTTTTAAATGTATTTGGTACAGGGTCTTACTATGCAGCTCAGACTTGTAGTGATCCTCCTGTTTTCAGCCTCCCCAGCACTGGGATTACAGGCATGCATCACCACACCTGGTCTTGGTGGCCAACAGTGTACCTGGGGGTGTGGCTGGTAGGGCCAGCGGGCCAGTGGTGCTGGGGATCGAACCCTTAAGCAGGCTTAGTCTACTGAGCTATTTCACCAGCCTGTTAAGGATTTATAATTTCCTAAAAGTATAATTTTTATGAAGTACAGAATACACTCTAGTTTATTTCAAGTATTAACAGCATATCAGAGCTACAAGAGCCCTGTGTAAGATCCTCTGGGTTCCATTCTTCCTAAATTAAAGTTCTAGAGGTCCCAAGGATTTGAGGGAAAATACCAAAAAAACTGTTAAATATGATCCTTCTTCTGTAAGTGGCAACTAATTTATATAGTGATCTTCACAGTACACTTTACACTCTTAAAAATTTTCTGAAATAAATGAACTTACAGGAAGTAGTCACGGATACACTGATTCACTTTCTAAAAGTAAACAGTTTATCCACTTACTTAAACTCATTTAATTTACTAGTGGCAGATAATGAATCAACAGAAGTTATGGGGCTCACTTGATAACTAGCAGGGTCTAAGATAGAACTGGAACCCAATACTGTGCAACGAAGTAAATAAGTAATTGGGCCTCAGCACTTTTACTAAAATCTGATACACACACATACTCATGTGCACAGGAAACCCTCCACATATGAAGAATTATGATTAACATACCCCTGTCAAATTATCATATTGAATTAATTATTTTTATTCCAATATCTACCCTAGCTTCAGCCTTCTCCTTAATAAATGTCTGCTCCCTACTGATGCCTTAAATGTACTATCTTCTTGCTAAAAATGACAAATTGCCAAACCTCTTTGGTTGGAAAAAAGCTAAATGTTACAAATTTGTTAAAATAATATTAAATTAGAAGATAGTAGAACCCCATAAAAACAATCCAATGAGCAACAGAAAAAGAAATGCTAAGAATTTTAGAATTAAAACTTGGTAAAGATCTGCACCTAAAATAAATTTTTTTAAAAAAAATTAGCACTCTACAAATTTGTGAAATTTTCTAGTCTTAAAAGGCACTAGGAGATGGGGAGATAGCTTGGCAGTCTAAGTGCTTGCCTGGCAAGTGCAAGGACTCAGGTTTGATCCCCAGTACCACATGCCATGCTGGCCCTGGAACCTTGGGTATACCATGCCCACACTGAAACTGGGTGTGGTGGTGCCTGTAATCCCAGCACCAGGGAAGTTGAGACAGGAAGATCACTATGAGTCTGAGCTGCATAGTGAGAAACTGTACCAAATCATTAAATTTAAAAAACTGATACTATACACTGCGATTAGGAGATAACTATATACAATAGCTAGAATAAGAACCAGAGCAGCTATCTGGCAAATTTGAAACAATTTGATTCTACTCTTTATCAAAATTGATGCTTCTTCATAAACACAAGTTCCCAGATCAATATAGAAGTGTTTCTTGGGCCAGAGAGATAGCTCAGTAGACTAAGCACCTGCCTGGCAAGTGCAGAGTCCTGAGTTCAA